GAGGAGGAGGAGAGGAGGAGGAGGAGGAGGGGGAGGAGGAGAAGGTCACTGTTTCAACCAAGCGGGGTTTGACCGTGAGATGGGGCGCAGCCCCGTCTGGGACGGTTCTCGTCTTTGGTCCAGGGCGGGGCCTTCACTCAGACAGGTCGTGACGGTTGCGGCCCCTCAGGTTTCGGGTATTTGGATGGAGTAGGGATCTTTGGATCTGGATGAAGTGGGGACCTCGGCCCAGAAGGCCTTCCTCTGAAGAGGGAGCCACCACGCGCACAGTGCAGCCAAGAGGAGGGGCCGCGCTGCACCTTGGCCCCGACCCGTCCACAGCAGATAGGGTAGCCAAAGCAGTCGCCGTGCTTCCTGCGAGGAGTTTACCCAAGTGGCCGCGGCTGGATTTCGCTGGCATAGAACATGTGAAGCCTGCTAGGCCCCCTCAGGACCCGGCCGAACCACCTGGTCCACAATGGGGTTTGGCAAGGCGAGTAATGGCACTGTCAAGGTGGCCTGAGGGGGCAACAGGGGGTAATTATGTATCCCCGCCTGCCCCTGCTCGTTGCTCAGAGACTCTTCCTCGGCTCCCTCCCGACTTCCAAGAGAATGGTCATGAGTGCGCCGCGGTCGACGACTCGTTTTTGAGGATTTGCTCGCTGTTGTCACTTTCAAAGCACAGGTGGCAGAATGGAACAGCAGGGCGGACCCTGCGCTGGCTGCGAAGGGCCAGGGCAGGGAGAGGGGCCTGGAAGTACGTCATGGCTGGCCGAAGCCCTCGGCAGCGCAAGCGAGAGAAGCGTGCTCGGCTCCTCCCCTCCCCGTGTGGCTGCCCCGTCTCTGGTCGCAGCGGTGTGGCCAGAGCTCCAGGGCCGCTGCTGGTGCCAGCCGACCAGGGCGGCCCTGGTTGTGTTGGGGGTGGGACCGAAGTGGCGGAGATGCCTGTGCATCCTGCCTCGGCGGCTTGGCAGAGAGTCCAACGGCATCCCCAAGAAACCTATGACATGTGACCGCAGAGTCTTGGTGGGGCTCGGGGTGAAGTTCAAAAAGAGGAATCGCTGGAATTCCTGTTTTCCTGTTTTTTCAAAGCCTGACCTCCCACCATACAGAACCGGTTTTTTTATACATGCTCCGCGTGCATATCATGTATTGAGAATGCAGGGATTTAGTATTGAAAACAACGATGAGTTCATGCATACATTCATTCGTAAATCAAAAATCCTATGTATTAAAAACTGCCCTGTATAGTGCGCAGGAATCGGAGGGGGTCCTGGCGGAACCAAGAGAGACCCGCCGCAGCTTCTGCGTGCGCCCGTGCGGCGGGAGGGGGGTTCTGGCAGACGGTGCCCGGGCCAATCTGGAGGGCTCCGACCGACCTTCCACAGGAGAAGGTGGTCCAATTGGCGCTCTCACAGGAGGGCCTGACGGCGGCTGCTGTTTAAAATCATGGTCCTCCTCTTCCTCCTCCTCCTCCTCCTCCTCCTCCTCCTGCTCCTCCTCCTCCTCCTCCTCCTCCTCCTCCTCCTCCTCCTCACAGCGAACCTCTGGCCAAGGAGATGTACTCGCTTCGCGGCGACAGTACCCAGCGCCACGATGGGATAGAAACGTGTACGCGAACTGGCGACTCGTCTCCACCCGATGCTTGCCTCCGCGTTCTGGGGGATTCAGCCAGCATTTTCCGAATCGGTCCATCATACAGAGAAGGCTTTGACGGAGAGGTACCGCCGACCTCAAGCAGCATGCAATGATTTCCACAATTCCACAAAAGATTCCGAACTCCGCCGCTATCATGGGAGAGTGTTGAAACGGTGGTGTCAGTATGGGGGGGGATTGACCACCTCGACGATGTCTATTAGCGCCAGTGGCTGCGGGAATTCCGCGTGTGCTCCGGCACCCAAGCGATGAGGGTGGACGAAGAGATGTACCAGCTCCAGGCTGACTTTGGATGTTTCGTGGTATATCGGCATCTTCCACGTTCGATCGATGACGACGGGAGTTCCGACCCGAGGAGGTTCATGGCCAGCAGGCTCTTGGATCTCGCCGCGGCGTGAAGTCATCCGCTTCGCTCGCCTGACGAGCTGGGCCTTGTGGAATTCATTTGCGTGTTCTGTAGTATTACGTCGGGCCTGTCCCTCTACAGGGGGGATATTCAAAAATAGTCAAAACAGATGATGGGGATCATGTTTTGACAATGTTTGCATATTTTTAGGGCACGTGGGGGGTATCTTTCATTTTTCGGCCAAAATCGGCCTGTAGGGGGACAGGCCCGACTTAACTGTAGTGCCGACTACGCGTAGTTTTGGCCTGATGGTTTTCATATACACGGCCGTCGGCTTTTCTTTTATCCCCTCGTGGGGAGTGGACTTCTACGTGTGAGTTTGGTGGCAAATGGAGCCTAGGGCTCTCCTCTCGCCGTCTGCTGCTGCTGCTGCTTGGCCCGCCCGCCCGACCCCCCTCTCGACCGTTGCAGCTGGTCGTGGTCTTGTCTCGGCGTTTCGCGGGCAAGCTCCGCTAGAAGGAGCACTTTGTGATGCTGGTGGAGTGCCACCTGCTGCACGTCGTGGCGCTGATCATGATCCTTGGAGCGGTGAACGTGACCTTTGGTCATCCGCTGCGCCTGCGCGGAAGCATGCAGATCTTCGTGAAGATGCTGACGGCGCTGCTCATGCCGTGGGTGCAGGCCTATGGCTCATCGCGGTTCTCGCCGTAAAGGTCCTGCTGCTTGGGGCCCAGCGGTTCTTGCTGCTGGTCATTGGCCCATTGCTCCTGCAGCTCTTGAGGATAGTCACGCACGTCGTGTTGCTCGTCAGGATCGGTTCGTCACTGGACGTGCTGTTCTTGCGGAGCCGCCTGAGTGCCGTGCCAGTATTAGAATGCGCCGCTCTAGCACTAGTGACAGTGAAGCTGGTCCTGCTGAGCTTCCCGATGAAGATGGCCAAGGCTCGCGGGCCCAAGCGTGAGCCCCTGCTGCTCGCCACGCGTCTCGTGAAGAACGTCTTGCTCGGTTCGGCATGGGAGTGCCTCCTGCCAGGAGCAAGGACAAGGAGGCGGACGTGAGGGCCAAGCGTTTTGCTCGTGCTTCGCCTTTTTCCTCCTCCGTGCCTCAGTCCTTCCTTCCCCTCCCTCGTAGATCTGGCGTCGGAGACGGGGCGGTGGTGGTTCGGAGGAGATGAGACGAGGATGAGGATGTGTCTGCTCCCCGCCCCCCCGCCCCCCCCCCCCCTCCCCCTTTCTTGTCAGCTGGAGCTCTCCGCAGGCCCGCGCCCGCGGCGGCCGCCTGGGGTCCCTGCGACTGGCGGGGCGGGGGGGGGGGAGCGGAGCCCGCGGCCCGCTGCGCGCGGGGCCAGAGCGCAGGCGGAGGAGGAGGAGGAGGAGGAGGAGGAGGAGGAGGAGGAGGAGGAGGAGGAGGAGGAGAGGAGGAGGAGGGGAGGAGGAGGGGGAGTGGGAGGATGGAGGAGGATGTAGGAGGATGAGGAGGAGGAGGAGGAGGAGGAGGAGGTAGGAGGCGGAGGAGGAGGAGGGCAGGAGGAGGAGGGGGTGGGGGGGTCCGCTGCAAGTAAAAAGGGACCGTTCGCTTGAGTAAAAAGTGACTCACCGCGGTCCCGGCTGTCCGTGGAGGGGCCTTGGAAGATGCCAGGGGCCCTCGGAAGGTTCTGGGGTTCCCTGAAGAGTTGCTGGAAGGTTCCGGTAGGCCCCCAGACCTGGAAGGTCCTTGGCGGGTTCCTGCAAGGTTCCAGGGGGCCCTGGAGGACTTCTGCTCCCGGGATGTCTCTGTGAACATGTACCATGTCATTGAGAGTTTCGGGTATGTATTCTTGGGTAGTAGATTAGCCCGCGGATCCTCCAAAACCATGACGCGTCGTCTTATCGCCCCCCCCCCTTGCCGTGGCTGGGGGGGATGCTGGCCGCGGCCGTCTCGGAGGCAAAAGGGAAAGGAATGACGATGAGGGGGATGGGAGGAGGAGGGGTGGGGAGGAGGGGGAGGAAGGGGTGCTGCCGTCAATGCTGACCTCACCGCTATCCGCCGCCGCTCTGGTTCGATGCTCGACGATTTAGGCCGTTGGGCATGTTTTGTCGCCTGGCCAGGGCCTCCAGTGAGGCTTCTGTTCTGCTGCGCTGCGCGTGGGTCCGCTTCGAAATCGTGGCCAGCACCTACTCATCCTGGGAGAGAGATCAGGAAAGGTATGTGTTTCGGGAACGTCGCCGTCGTCGTGGTCGTCGTTGTCGCTCCTCCTCCTCCTCCTCCTCCTCCTCCTCCTCCTCCTCCTCCTCTTCCTCCTTCTCATCCTCCTACTCCTTCTACTTCCGTTCTCCTTCACCTGACTCCCGCTGCTGGTGCAGCAATGAATATTTGCCTGAGGGCGTCTTCAAAGTGTTTAATTGTAGAGAACCGGTGAGTGCGGCGTCGCGCCCCAGAGGCGGTGCTCGACCTTATTCGGGTTCCTTGGTCGTGGTTATTGGCTGCTTTCCTCGGTGTCCTTGGTCTTGGATCCTTGCTGCCTTCCTCTCGTTCCCTGGTCGGTGTCCTTGGTCATGGTTCCTTGCTCCCTTTCTCGGGTTTCTCAGTCTTGGTTCATTGCTGTCTTCCTCGGGTTTCTTGGTCTTGGTTTCTTGCTGCCCAGCAATGCCAAGCAGAGCCACGCAAAGCAAATCAATGCCAAACAATTCAGAGCAACGCAAAGCAATGCACATCAATAGCAAGCAGTGCCAAGCAACTCGCCAATGCGGTACGAAGTTGTTACCCTAAGTCTGGTCGCGCCAGGTGCATTGATTTGTTTCCATTGCTGCTGCGAAGGTCCCAGGGGCGCCTGGAGGGTTCCACTGAGCCCCGGAGGATTCCTTGAAATATTCCAGTAGCAAGGAGTCATGGAAGATTACAGGGGCTCCAGGCAGCACTTTTGGAAGGTTCCAATTGTCCCCCCCAAGAGCCCTTGCCTGGAAGGTTCCAGAGGGCCCAGGGGGGGGTCCTGGAGACAGGCTGCATGGACCCCCAGAGGGTCCCTGGAAGGCTGTAGGGGACCCCAGAAGGTTCCCCTGGGGATTCACGAAAGGTTGCAGGGGCCTTTTGAGGATTCCTGGAAGGTTCCAGAAATCCCTGGAGGTTTCTTGGCAGGCGCCACGGGCCCCATGGAGGGTGCCAAGGGAAGGTTACAGGGGGGTCATGACAGATTCCCTGAAACACCCAGGGGGCTACAGAGGGACCCTGGAAAGTTCCAGGAATCCCTGAAGTGTTCCTGGAAGATTCCAAAGCCCCCCAGGAGGTTTCCTCGAAAGTTCTTTGGCAGTAAAGCTGTAGTGAATTAATAATTCTCAACGTGAAAACTACCCGCGGGGGTGAGTTAACACCCCAGCTCCCTCCTCCCCTCCATCCATGCACTCCCCACCTCCAACCCGTCTCCCGAAGGGAGAGGGAAGGCCTTAGGAAAGCACAGGCACTCCCAGAAATCCGAAAGTGGTCTGATAGATTTCAAGTGTGGACCCCAAGAGATCTGGACCTTTCCCCAGGACCAGCGTTTCATGCTGAGCTGGTTTGTCACCGCCCTGTGGCCCAGCAAGGGCCCCCAGAGACCGAAAACGGGCAACAAAATGATTTGTCGCGATTTTTCACGACGCGAGAAAATCTGGGTCCCTCCTTTCCGAGGGGAGGCCCTCCGAAGGGACGGGCACCCCCGCAGGGGGCCTCCCTGGGTCGTTATGAGGGAAGCGGGTCTTTTTTCCCCGGACGCGTCCCCCAGGAACAGCAGCTCCCGGGGCGCGTTCTCTCCGCGGGCCCCGGGGACCCGAAAACGGCACCACAGAGCCGCGACACCTTCTCTCCAGGACCCACACGGAAGAGCCGTGGGCCCCGTGGCAGGGGTGCCCCCTGGGCCCGGCCGCAGCAGCTCCTCCTCTTCCTCCTCCTCCTCCTCCTCCTCCTCCTCCTCCTCCTCCTCCTCCTCCTCCCCCTCCTCCCCCTCCTCCTCCCCCTCCTCCTCCTCCCCCTCCCCCTCCTCCTCCTCCTCCTCCGATTCCCCCTTCGCGACCCGCCGCGGAGTCGTGCCGGCCAGGCTCGTCTTGGGGAGGGTCAGGTGCTCGCGGCGCTGCTGGCCATCGACGCGCACCGGAGGCCCACCGCCACCGACCTGCTCGAGAACGCCGTGTTCCGAGGACGTCGCCGTCGCCCGTCGTCGCGAGGTGAGGACCCAGACCCCCTCGCGTTGTGAAAAAATCACGACGGGAAGTTTTTCGCTATCTTCGGCCTCTGGTGACCCTCACCGGACCTCGGGACCGTCAAAAAACGACTCAGGATGAACAACGGGTCCTAGGGAATGGGTCGAGAACTCTGGGGGTCGACGTCACGAAAAAATCATGACGTCGGGGGTCTGGGGATGGCGATCAAAGGCGGGCTCATCAGGAGCACGACTCTGATTGTGCTTCACTCGAAGACACGAAGCTAGCTCGAGCTCCTCTTGTGCGCGCAGCTGCTGGCGGTGCTTCGCACGGGGGGGGGGGGCTCGCACGGCCATCGGCACCCCGAACGGAGGTATCCTGGGACCCGAGACGCCCAACACTCCACAAAACTTCTGGGCAGGGAGGATGGAGGCGGGGAGAGCGGGGAGGACAGAGGAGGAGAAGGGACGAGGGGGCGGGAGGAGAAGAGAGGAGGGGAGGGGAGGAGGGAGGAGGAGCAGGGAGGAGAAGGTACGAGGAGGGAGGAGGAGGTGCAGGAGAGGGGGCAGGAGAGCGGGGAGAGCGGGGAGGACAGAGGAGGAGAAGGGGGAGGAGGAGCAGGAGGAGAGACGAGGAAGCGGGAGGAGGAGGAGAGGGGAGGAGGGAGGGGGAGGGAGGAGGTGGAGGAGGAGGAGGGGGAGGAGGAGGAGGAGGAATGGGTGATGCCCCCCTCTGGGGCGGGATGTGGAGACCCCTGATCTGGCTTCAGCAGGGGGCTGAGGGCCTGGGAGGGCCACGCCAGCGATCCTGCAGCGACCAGGCGAAGGGCCGTCTGCTGTCACCCTGCCCGACCCAGCCCAGCAAGGACCGAGAGGGAGGGTAGGAGGGAGGACCGTGGTTGGTAGCAAGATGAGCGACAACGCCTGACCAGAACGAGTGGGGCAGGCCAAGTGGGGCCGCCAACCTCGTATGGTTGCCAGACGCTTTGGGCTCTACCCGCTTCCCCAACCGTTGCCTTGTCAGTACACCGCGAGGGGGCGCGAGTGTGAGGCTCCGGCAATGGAGTGGGAGGGAGCCACCTTGGGAGGAGAGGCACCCGAACCCGCACCCGCACCCGAACCCGGCACAGCCCAGGACCAGCCAGCGAAGTCGTTGGAGGCAGGGAGGGCCAGGAGAGAGCCTGGAGCGTCGGGAGGGGGGAGGAGGGAAGGACCAGGAGGGAAGGGAGCCCCTGACACTCCCTGGCAACAGGGCGCCCACGAGCGGGGCCCCGGCCCCCCGAGCATTGGGGGCTCTGCACCCGCCCGTGGGCCGACCCGCTGCACCACCCCTGCCCTCGCGGCGCACCCGCGGCAGTGGGCGTGCTCGGCGTCGTCCTGCTCGCCCTGGGCGGGAGGGCAGCCCGGCGTCCCAGCCGGCTTGGAGGGGAAGGCTGTTGTTGTTGTTGTTGATGATGATGATGATGATGATGATGATGATGTTGATGATGTTGTTGTTGGTGGTGTTGCTGTTGTTGATGTTGTTGTTGGTGTTGATGATGTTGTTGCTGGCGTTGTTGTTGGTGTTACTGTTGTTGTTGATGGTGATGATGCTGCTGTTGTTGGTGTTGTTGGTGGTGGTGGTGTTGCTGCTGTTGATGTTGTTGATGGTGTTGTTGTTGCTGCTGTTGTTGTTGATGATGATGCTGGTGATGATGTTGTTGTTGTTGCTGTTGTTGATGTTGTTGATGATGATGCTGGTGATGATGTTGTTGTTGTTGCTGTTGTTGATGTTGTTGTTGTTGCTGCTGCTGGTATTGGTGGTGGTGTTGGTGTTGGTGTGGTGTTGGTGTTGGTGTTGTTGTTGTTGCTGTTGCTGTTGCTGTTGCTGTTGTTGTTGTTGATGTTAC